ACCCTGAAGGATGACAGAGCAGGAGACAATCCCAGGCAGGCGCACCCACCTAGCTCAGACACCACTTCTTCTCTGGTCACCGATGCCTGGTCTAGAAGCTCTCCAATCTTCTTCAGGCGGCTGGAGTACGGACGGTCCTCCATGCCCAATCTGTGTGTTGGGGGAGAGGTTTCAGGGAGGTCAGAGCTAGCAGGGCAGAGGCGCTGGGCAGGGGAAAGGGCTGCATGTGGCCAGGCTGCAGCCAGGCACAAGTGCCCTGACAAGAGGGGGAGAGGACTGGGTGTGAGCAGGCCGTTTTGTTCTCTGGGACCCTGAGAGCCCTGAAACACAGACAAGATCAAGAGGCTTCTGCCCATGCCTCCCTAGGGTCTGCAAATAAGGATGGAAGGTTTCAGTTTGTGGCAATGCCAGAGGCCCCCGGATCACCTACACACCCACACCTCACACCTGCAGCCCCATACTCACTCTCTGGCGTCCAAGACGGATTGGGCATCTCCCTCCAGCTCCTCCATGTGGCCCAGGAGTTGCTGGAGAAAGTGCTCGCTGGAAGACTCCCCCTGCAAGGCCAGGTGCACAGCCAGGGCCTGCAGGATGGCGCCATTGTAACCCAGGGAGGACGCATGTGTCAGCTGGGCTGAGAGCCGGGCAAACTAGGGAGGAGGAGACCTGCTGTCACAGAAGTCCTGCTGCAGAAGAGGGAGGGGACGGCCCAGAAGCCACCCCACCCTTAGTACCTTCTGTACATCCTGGACACTGCTATAGGCCAGGGAGATACCAGCCACCCTCATGGCACCTCCATTGCCATAGGAGCCTTTCCCGTTAAACTGGGCCCGGGCAGGCTCAAAGACATCGCAACATTTGGGGTTCAGGAGCTTCTTGAAGACAGTGACTACTCCAGCACCATAGCCCCTGTCAGGGTCCTTCTTGTACTCCTGAGCAAATCTAGGGAAGAGAAGGGGAGACAGAATCGGGATTTACAAGACGCCTCTAAGGGTTGGGAGACAAGAAATTGAGACTGGTTTGGAAAAAGAGGAAGCCTTGGGGGCTTAAGGAGCCTACACCAGCAGTGCTGCTGTTTTAGCTTAGGAAGCTGTGCCAGCCAGACACAGGCTCCTGCGGAGGGTGGGGGCGTGGGCATGCACAGATGTCATTCCTCTGGCCAAGGGGTGCAATAACTTTGCCCACCTGGTTTGCCTCAGCCCAGGACCATCCCCCTCACCTGTGAGCCATGTCCACCTCGTCAAAGGCCTCCTTGGCTAGCAGGGACTGCACCAGGGCTCTGGCCATGGCTGTGTCATCTGTGTAGTACAAGGCTTCTGTGGGGGAGAGGAGGGAGGATGAGAGCCTCCTGCTCACCGTGTGTGTGTGTGTGTGTGTGTGTGTGTGTGTGTGTGTGTGTGGTGTGTGTGTGTGTGTGTGTGTGTGTGTGTGTGTCAGTCAGAGTCTTTCTGTGGCTTACTGCAGTCTTGAACTCCTGGGCTCAAACTATCCTCCAGCCTCAGCCTCTCAAGTAGCTGGGACTACAGGCATACATCCTCACATCCAGCTAATGTTATTTTTTGTAGAGACAGGGTCTCACTCTGTTGACCAGATTGGTCTCGAATTCCTGGGCTCAAGCAATCCTCCTGCCTTGGCCTCCCAAAGAGCTGGGATTACAGGCATGAGCCACTGTGCCTGGCCCTGCTCACTGTTTATTTTAGTTTATATCTTTTTTTTTTTTTTTTGTTTGGGGAGGGGGTTTCGCCCTTGTTACCCAGGCTGGAGTGCAATGGCGCGCTCTCGGCTCACCGCAACCTCCGCCTCCTGGGTTCAGGCAATTCTCCTGCCTCAACCTCCTCAGTAGCTGGGATTACAGGCACGTGCCACCATGCCCAGCTAATGTTTTTGTATTTTTAGTAGAGACGGGGTTTCACCATGTTGACCAGGATGGTCTCGATCTCTTGACCTCGTGATCCACCCGCCTCGGCCTCCCAAAGTGCTGGGATTACAGGCTTGAGCCACCGCGCCCGGCCTTATTTTAGTTTATATCTTATTATTTTATTTAATTACTTTTTTGAGACAGGGTCTTACCCTGTTGCCTAGGCTGCAGTGCAGTGGTGTGACCATGGCTCACTGCAGTCTCAACCTCCCAGACTCAAGGATCCTCCTGCCCCAGCCTCCTGAGTAGCTGGGATTACAGATGCACACCACTATGCCCAGCTTTTTTTTTTTTTTTTTTTTGTAGAGACAGGGTTTCATCCTATTGCCAGGCTGGTCTCAAACTCTTGGGCTCAAGTGGCCTCTCCCAAAGCACTGGGATTACAATTGTGACGCACCACGCCCAGCCCCTGCTCATGTTTTAGAGTTACCACATCTAAAATGACCTTAAGTCAGCTTCTCACTCCCACTTTCCTGGGCCCTGGGAAGCCTTAGGAGCTCAGCTTTGGGATTTTCAGCAATTCTTTATTCCAAATCAGTCACCACATCCTGCTGCTTTCTATTTGATGTATGTATGTATGTATGAGCCCACATCATGCTTTGATCTGCTGATTTCTGAAGGAAAACTTCCATCCCCTTCTGGCTGCCATCCTTACAGCTCATCTTTTTGTTTTTTTCTTTTCTTCTTTCTTTTTTTTTTTTTTTTTGATGGAGTCTCACTCTGTAGCCCAGGCTGGAGTGCAGTGGCACAATCTCAGCTCACTGCAACCTCTGCCTCCTAGGATCAAGTGATTCTCCTGCCTCAGCTTTCTGAGTAGCTAGGATTACAGGTGTGCGCCACCACATGTGGCTAATTTTTGTATTTATAGTAGAGACGGGGTTTCACCACGTTGGTCAGGCTGGTCTCGAGCTCCTGACCTCGTGATCCGCCTGCGTTGTCCTCCCAAAGTGGTGGGATTACAGGCATGAGCCACCGCACCCGGCCTGCTTTTCTTTTTTGGAGACAGGGTCTTGCCATGTTGCCCAGGTCAGTCTCAAACTCCTGGGTGATCAGTCTCCCAGTAGCTGGGATTACAGGTGTGTGCCACCATACCCAGCTTGAAAATGATAGTTTCTAGATCCAGATCTCCTCCTACTTCATGTCTCTGTAGCACATCACCAGTGACCAGTGTCTTCATCTTGAAAATCTTTTCCTAGGTTTCGTTGATATCCATGCCCTTCACCTATCAAACTGTTTCCTACTCTCACCCCTTCCCTCCCTCACTACCTCCCTCTTAATTACAGGTGTTCTCCAGGGTTCTGACTATGGCCCTTTTTTCTTACTATTCCACCTGCTCTCCAAGAAGATTCACCTCCTCTGCTTGACCTCACACCTGCTATCTGAGTCGGGATCTGAGCCATGAGCTAGCTGACAGCACACGGGAAGGAAAAGGGAAGGAAGTTAGTTTTACAGGTAAGACAACACATGCAAACGCCTGGCCTAGAGGAAGCATGGTGTGAGGAACCCAAGAGCAGAAAGCAAGGCCAAGGTTGGTGGAAGATGAAACTGCAGACGTCCCGGAGGGCCGGGCCACGTCGGACACATTAAGAAATGTGGCTCTGTACTAAGGGTAATGGGAAATCACATCAGGGTTTCAGGTGGGGAAGGATGAAATTAGAGTCAGGCTTCCAGAGCACGCCCTGCGGGGTGGAAAACCCGCTGATGGTGTACTAACTCCAGAGAACCGGGAAAAACAGGTCAAGTCGGCAAGGGCGGACAGACGGTACCCGGCTTAGGATGGTTCAACTTAAGTTTTTTTCGGCTTTCCGATCATGCTAACAGGCATTCAGTAGGCTCCTCGACGTCCGATGGGGCTTCGTCCAAATAAAATTGTCCAAGCTGAAAGCGCACAGTCTGCTTCGGGTATTTTCAACTTATGATGGGCTTATCCGGAGGCGACCCCAGAGGATGCGTAGGAGCCTCTATACACCAGACCAGGCGCAACCCGAGACAGCATCGCCCAGGCCTCCGCCCAGCACTGTTGCGGCTCCGGTGCTGCCACGCCCCGAGCAGGGGATGTTCGGGGCGAGACGCCTAAGGCCGGAAATCGCGCTAGCACTCGCTGAGGCCAAGCTGTTGTGGGTCACCCGGCCCTGACCCCAGCGCCCTCGGCAGCCATCCCCGCGCACCCCTGACCCGTCGTCCCCGGAGGCTCCACGCCCCTCCGGCCTCCCCCCAGCACGGCCTCCGACTTGCGCCCGGCCCCGCCCACCTGTCCGCTGGCTCCCGGGCGTGTCGGGGTCCGGTTCCAGGTTCTGGACGTGACGCAAGACTGACGTCAGGTCGACGGTGTCGTGGGCCTCGTAGAAGGAGCCCACGCAGTCCCCGAGCAGCGCGCCAGCCAGGCAACCTCGGAAGCGCGAGAGGGAGCGGGCCGCGCCAGCCCCTCCAACGCCCGCCGCCGCCATCACCGCCGCCGCCATCCGCGCGCCGGATACTCGCCACTTCCGGTGCCACCCGCGCCGCTTCCCTACTCCGGGCCCGTGGCGCTCCCCGGGGCCTGGAGTCTTCGCTCCGCCGTCCGGCCTACAGCGCCGCCCAGCGGCCCGGAGTCGCGGCGCCGTGCGGCTCCCGCTAGCCTGTGCTTTTGAGTCCCCAGTTCTTCCCGCTCCTCACCACTGGGCCAACTGGGCGGGAAAGCCACTATGGGTCCCTGGGGGATGGGCACTGAGCCAGACCATTGGACCACTCCAGGCCACTGCCTCCCGCAGGCGAGCACTCCTAACTCCGCACCCCCAGGCGGCCCTCCACACCGAGGCTGGGAGCCCCAAGCCCTCCCTTTCCCTCTGTGGGCCTCACTTACGCGTCAAGAGGGCGGGCAAGGGGCCAGCTGGGGCACAGCCTGGTAGCGGCCGCGCTGCTGGAGCCCGGGGGCGCTGGCCCAGCCCAGAGAGGGGTTCCTTGAGGGGAGGGGAAGGAACTGGATTTGGTACATGGACTTCAGGGGAGTGGTGTTCCCCATCTTTGCTCCTCCTTAGACAGGAGGGTGGCCAAGAACCCTCTTCCTGCTGGCTACATACAGTGGGGCAGAGAACAGCCGGCCTGAGATCCTCCGCATTTATTCCATTCATTCCCTTCTCCCTGCTTCCACTGCCCACCCTACCCTGCGCTCCTCCCGCAGCCCTCCAGGGCTAGGCCAGCTCCAGCTGGCAGCTTTTGAGTGGACTCAGCGTTCTATTTGTGGTACGTGTGAAGGTGTCCACCTCGGGCACGAACTTCTCAGCAGGCACAGTCAGCTTGCGCCGTGTGTCCATGCACTTGGTGTCCAGCAACATGGAGTTGGCCTTGCAGGCGATGTCAGCTTGCAGCCGGGCCAGGTGCTTGTACAAGGCGTCCAGTGCATCCCTAGGGAGTGGCGTTGACAACCCCCCAACCCCCTTGAGGCTGGGAGGCCTGGGCTGTGTGCACAGCCTTCAGTCAGGAGGACATCCCCAGGGAGCCAGCAGAGGCCGCACTGATGGGCAGCGCCTCACTGCCCCCCCACCACTCCCCAGACCTACTGTGCTTGCGCCAGCTTCTGCTTCAGGGCAGCAATGGTTGCCTGTAGCTGGTGAACCTCATCGGTGAGGCCGTACTGCGCCTGGAGGCCGCAGAGGGGTTGGGAGTTCCAGGTCAGCCACACTGTCCTTACCTGGGTGCTGCCCCGTGACAGCAGTGCCCTTGCTCCATCAGGAACATGAGAAAACCTTGGCCAGAGGCTCCTGCCCCACTGGGACGCCCTCTCACCTGGTCCCGGCAGAGTTCCACGTTGGGCCGGTAGGTTCTGGCCTCTAGCCGGGTATGGGACAGCTTCAGGCTCAGGAACTTTCTGTGCAGATCCTCCTCTAGGTGCCGTATGTCCTCCTGCAGCTCAGCGATCTCCTCCAAGGTCTGCAGGGACAGAGTGACAGGTTTCCACCTGCTGGACTCACCATGTGCGGCCGGTCCAGGGCCTCCTGGCGGGGGCAGGTGGTTCCTCATCCCACAGCCGGAGGTCCAGGCCCCATCACAAGCTCACATTCTTCTCTTGCCACTTGAGCTCACTGTACACTTTCTCCATCTCCCGCAGACGCTTCCTGAAGGCAAATTCCGTTGCGACTCTCTGGGCTTCAAGCTCGTTGTTGGTCTGAAGGAGAAAACATAAACAGGGCAAGGCAAGGGTCTGCACTCACGGCCATCTGAGGATATTACTCAGGCGAGCGCATGGGGGCCACGTGCACAGCAGGGAACAGAGTTTACGGGCTGAGCACACGCTGGGGCCATCCATGAGCCGTCACCTCAGCGATAGTTAGGGCGATGGTCTCCCTCAGCTCCCTAGCTGCTTTCAGCTCAGCCTCTGCTCTGTCCTTGTTGAACTGACTGAAGTTACCCCACTGCTGGAGTGTGGTGGAGCTGCGAGGGGCAGGGAAGATGGGCGTCAGGAGGGTGTGGCCTGGGAGGGGAGGAGGGGAGACTGGCTGAGACATTCTTCTTACCCATCAGGGACACGTGTGGGGTCGACCTTCAGAGAGATGTTTGGGGACTTGAGGTTAAGAGAGAGACAGCCTCTGTCAATCTCCAGTGTCTCCATTTTGCCCCGATGGTCGGAGTGGAGCTGCTGTCTGACTTCCTGCAGGAGGCTGGGGAAAGCGCAGACTCCATCAGGAACCATCTCCCAAGGCCCAGAGGCAGGCCTGGCCGTGCTGAGGGGACGCAGCAGGAAGAGGAGGCTGGGGTGACCCTTCCCAGTAGAAGATAATGGAGCTGCAGCCAATGAGACCAAGAGCAGCACAGCTGGATGAAAATGCTGACCTCCCCCACGCGCCCTACACACCCTCGGGCACACGCACGCAGCTGTGCTCACAAAAGCTCCTACGCACACACTCACAGGAGCTACTCAGAGGTGGTGGCAAATGGGTGTCACCTCTCATGCTTCCAATCAGTGGATATTGACTGCCCCGGGCGGGGTCGTGAGAAGTATTCTGAGCCCATGTCCAGGCAGTGGGAAAAGTGCTACAGTCGATTAGTGGTTTCTGCCACAGGCACCAGAGGGCCAAAACGTAACATGAAAGCAGGTTGTTCCTCATCCACAATACCTGCCTTCCACACCGAAGGCCCACAGCTTCAAGGGCCTGTGAGCATGCCGGCGACCTGCCTCTCCCTTACCAGAGCTGCTCGACGGCCTGGCTGATCCTCTGTTGCAAGGCCTTCTTGGTGGCCTCAGTGACCTCCACCTCTTTATGCAGCTCATCCTCCACAGGGTCCTTCACCACATCAATGTCTCGCCGGCTTTCCCGCAGGGTCAGGCACTCAATGGCCACGTCCAGAGGCAGGTTCTTGGCCTGCAGGTTTTGCTCTGCTGACTCCTTCATCTAGAAAAGAGGGTGTGGCCCGGCATGGTGGCTCACGCCTGTAATCCCAGCACTTTGGGAGGCCGAGGCGGGTGGATCATCTGAGGTCAGGAGTTCAAGAACAACCTGGCCAACATGGTGAAACCTTGTCTCGACTAAAAATACAAAAATTAGCTGGGCATGGTGGCGCACGCCTGGAGTCCCAGCTACTTGGAAGGCTTGAGGCGGGAGAATCGCTTGAACTCAGGAGGTGGAGGTTGCAGTGAGCCAAGATGGCTTTATTGCACTCCTGCCTGGGCAACAGACTGAGACACCATCTTGGAAAAAAAAAAAAAGGAAGGAAAAGAGGGGATGGGGGGTGCTGGTGGAGCCATCCATGGGGAAGTAGCACTTGTCCCCACTTTCGCAGGGGCCAGTGACTCGGATGGACATACCACTCATGACCCCCCCATCAAAGGCTTCTCAACCCAACCATGGGGAAGGAGGGGAGGTTTTGGCAGCAGCCCCCCGGGGAACCAGGTCCTGGCTCCCTGCCTGTGTCAGGGCGTCAATCTCGGCATCCAAATCAGTCAGACACTTGTCCAGCATCTCCTTCCACCGGTTGACGGTATCAATCCTCTCCGCCAGTCGACTCCTGTTGTCATGTTCATCCCAGATGGTCTGAGAGACAGGGCCAGATAAAGAGGGTGTCAAGTGGTTGGGGGCTATCCCTTTGCCCACCCAGCTGAGTTCCCGTCCCCAACCTGGTTGTTGGTCTCGTTGCGGAGCACCCGGGCCTCCTGGCGGATCTGATGGGAAGCATCTCGCTGCAGCTGGGCATTGGTGGACAGCAGGTAGCTGTTGGTGTGCCAGTCGGGCAGCTGGAAGCGCTGACCGGGCTTGACGCTCAGCGTGGCCATGGCACAGAAACCAGAAGGGTCAGAAGTCCCTAGGCCTGTTCGCAAACAGCACCTGCAGAGGGAAAACAGGGCTGCTGGAGACAGTTCAGGAGAACGTCTCCGGGATCGCATGCCCCCGCGCGGGACTGATTCCAGTCCATTTGCTGTGAGCCCCGCCCTGCTGGAAGCCTGCCTGGGACAGCCCTTGCTTTACTCAGCTTTGTGTGAGGCATTAACTAGGTTTCCCTCCCTCCTGTCCCCTGGGGGACACAAACCCCTGGACCTTGAAGGTCCTGGAGCAGGTAAAAAGGAATATTGGAGTCCGGGAATCCTCGACGTGTGTGCGCAGTGCCAAATGCCTAGGGGGGAGGGGGATGGCAGAAAAAAATAGCTCTTAATGCAGTTTCCACGCCTGCTCTGGGCAACCATGCCTTGTGAGGCTTCCTTTCCTTTCTTCCCCAGTCTGCCGGCCAGGCCCTGTGGGGGATCTAAAGGCAGGAACCCAGTTCTCTTTCCAGGGACGCGTGCTTATTGGCACTGGGGAGCTGCGGGGCGGCCCTCTTCTTATTTGGTTGCCGCCACGTCCCCTCCCCCCCACCGCCCTCGCCTTCTGTTGGAGGGGGAGGCGGGACCGGGAGGGTCCCGTGGGAGGAGTCCGGTTCCCCGCGGAACCCCTTTCCTCCCCTCCGCAGGATGATCACTGACCCGGCGCGGAGGAAAGGGGCGCCCTGGCTCCCCTCGCCCCCTTACCTCCTCTCCCGCTTCGCCCTCCGCGCCCCCCGCTCAGAGCTCCAGTGTTTGGCGCCCCCGGTTGCTAGGCAACTGCACCTTCCCTCCCCCCCGCCGACGCGGCCGCAGCTGCCACCGCGACCTGGGTGCTTCGCTTGGCAACCGCGGCGGCAGCGCCTGGCGGCGTCCCCGGAGGCCTTTAGGGTAGGCGAGGGGCGGCCGGCCGAGCCTGGGAGGGGTAGGGGCATCAGAGCAGCGCTTTCACTTGCTTTACAAATTAAATGAACTTTTGTTATTTTTTCAGACAGGGTCTTGTTCGGTCGCCCGGGCTGGAGTGCTGTGGCTCGGTCTCGGCTTGTTGCAGCCTGGACCTCCCGGGCTGAAGAGATTCTCCCACCTCAGCCTCTCGTGTTAGCTGGGACCACAGGCGCGTGCCACCATGCCTGACTTAATTTAAAAAAGATATTTTTAGTATAGACAGGGTTTCACTATGTTGCCCAAGCTGGTCTCAAACTCCTGGCCTCAGGCGATCCATCTGCCTCAGCCTCACAAAGTACTGGGATTACAGATGTCACAAAACCAAAGCCCCTGGAACATTTTGTTTGTGGATCTCTCATTACCACAGAATCTATGAGTGCGCCATTTCTCAAAATGTTCTCTTTACCATCTGTAGTTTCAAAGCTCAGTAAACAGTTTTCTTAACTGCTCTGGTTCCTTTGGATCAAGGCCCTTCTCTCCGCGCCCCTCCACCCACCCCAGGGACGGCCTGAGTCGGGCTGGGGGCCACCAGGTGGCGGTTTTACCTCCATTTTGAGACCGGACTCTGCCTGGATAATTTCGATGTTTTTAGTAAAGAGGCGGGGGGTTTCACCATATTGGCCAGGCTGATCTCAAACTCCTGACCTCAGGTGATCTGCCTGCCTTGGTCTCCCAAAGTGCTGGGATTACAGGCATGATCCAACGCACCTGGCCTGATTTGTTAATTGCAAGCCTGTCTTCAGCAGGACTGAAGCCAGAACAATATTTCCCAAACTCCCTTCATCACAGAGTATTTTTTTCCACAGGTTATTTTGTAAACTCTAATATGTGATTCGTAAACTGGACATGAACAAGAATTTGTGATATAGCCTCTTTACCAGGATTGAAGAAAACAGAAAGAAAAAATATTGGACAAATTAATTGCTGGAAGAAATGATCAAATTTTGGCTTACATGTTTTGCAACATTTGTATAACACAAAGAAGTAACCAAATATGGCAGAACTGTGGTGTCTTTGGCATCTACTTTTGACCTTGGTGGTGGCTGTGGTATTCATTGCTCCTGGGGTATTCACACACCCTGCCCATGGGAAGAAGGTGTTGGCCAAAAAGGTCAGCCAGCTGATGTCCTGGACCAAGAGAGACAGAGTGATAAGAATGAGTGAAACCATGTTCTATCATTTTGTATTCGATGCACCGAAAAACTATTCTGTTATTGTGATGTTTACTGCTCTGCACGAGTTCAGTTCATGTGTAGCGTGCAAATATGCTGCTGAAGAATTTCAGATCTTGGCAAATTCCTATCAACACCCTGATGCATTCACCACAAAGGTATTTTTTGCGATGGTGGATTATAATGAAAGTCCTGAGGTCTTTGAAGCGCTCCAGATAACGTTAGTTCCGAATTTCTTCCACTTTTCTGCCAAATGGGAATTGACAACAGCTGACATTTATGGTTTGAGAGGAAGGGATATTGTTGCTGACCAAATGGCTGAATGGGTAGCAGAAAGGACACATGTCAGTGTCAGAATCAGACAGCCTACAAATTATCATGGTCTCCTCAAGCCAGCGATACTTTTGGCTCTCATTGGCGGACTTGGGTATTTCTTGAAATGGCATAGGAAATCTATTTCCTGCAGCATTTTGTGCGAATTTTTAACTCTGTGCTTTGTGATTTTGATGACATCTGGTCAAATATGGACTTATATAAGAGGAGAACCATATGCCCAAAGGGACCCTCGCACAGGACAGAAACATTATATCAGTAAATTTAGTCACGTTCAGTTTGCAGCGGAAACATACATCATTTCCCTGTTTAATATGTGTGTTACCCTGGGAATGTTGCTGTTAGATAAGGCTACCACCTCTAGGACGAATGTCATAAAGAGAAAGATGATGTGTCTGTGTGGTACGTGTCTAGTTGCCATATTCTTTACTTGGCTGCTCTCCCTCTTTAGATTTAAAATACCTGATTATCCATACAGCTTTCTCTTCGATTAAAAAGGATCCTACAGACATAGACGATGAAGCAAGAAGTTTGAAAAAGAAAAAAGAAAAATGCAAACTCATAACTTTTTAAAGTAATTGAGATTTCACCAGAAGAGACCATGAAATAAGTGGCTTGACAATAATAAATCATTTGCTGTCAAAATCTGTGAAGTATTACAGTATGTATCTTCTCTGGTCTTAATTTTTCTCCCACAGAAGGGTTATAGGTTACCTCAAGTGGAATTATGAAAATCTTTAGAGAGTACAACTTTCATCAAATCGGAACAGTGTTTAAAAGCACTTTAGTTGGCTGGGCCCAGTGGCTCACGCCTGTAATCCCAGCACTTTGGGAGGCCGAGGAGGGTAGATCATTAGGTTAGGAGTTCAAGACCAGCCTGGCCAATATGGTGAAACCCTGTCTCTACTAAAAATACAAAAATTAGCTGGGCATGGTGGCGTGTGCTTGTATTCCCAGCTACTAGGGAAGGCTGAGGCAGGAGAATCGCTTGAACCTGGGAGGGGGAGGTTGCAGTGAGCCGAGATCACACCATTACACTCCAGCCTAGGCAACAGAGCAAGACTCTGTCTTAAAAAAAAAAAAAAAAAAAGTACTAGTTAATATTAATACTTGGTCAGCTGGTCTTATTCTAATATGAAAAATAATCTTTTTTCTTTTTCTTTTGAGACAGGGTCTCACTCTGTTGCCCAGGCTGGAGCGCAGTGGCAAAATCTTGGCTCACTGCAACCTCTGTCTGCCTCCTGGGTTCAAGCAATTCTCCTGCCTCAGCCTCTTGAGTAGCTGGGATTACAGGCGTATGCCACCACACTCAGCTAATTTTTTGTATTTTTAGTAAGGATGGGGTTTTGTCATGTTGGCCAGGCTGGTCTTAAACTCCTGATCTGCCCCCCTCAGCCTCCCAAAGTGCTGGGATTACAGGCATGAGCCACTGTGCCTGGCCGAAAAATAGTATCTTGACAAGATATTCCCACACCTGGCCACTGACGATAACTGCATTAGCCCTCCATGGAAGTGCACATTTGGAGTCTGTTTTATGGGTGGAGAGAGCAGTTGTATGATGTTGTCGCCTGAAGTTTAAATATCTATGTTCAGAGTACACTTCCAAAGCTTAGAGGCAAATATAGTATTTCATGCTACTACATATCCATCTCCCCTACTGGAACATACAGTATGTTTCTTTTTCTTTTACCATGCTTTTTTTTTTTTTTTTCTTTTGATACGGAGGTTCACTCTTGTTACCCAGGCTGGAGTGCAATGGCGCGATCTTGGCTCACCGCAACCTCCGCCTCCTGGGTTCAGGCAATTCTCCTGCCTCAAACTCCTGAGTAGCTGGGATTACAGGGACATGCCACCATGCCCAGCTAATGTTTTGTATTTTTAGTAGAGACAGGGTTTCACCATGTTGACCAGGATGGTCTCGATCTCTTGACCTCGTGATCCACCCGCCTCGGCCTCCCAAAGTGCTGGGATTACAGGCTTGAGCCACTGTGCCAGGCTCTTTTCTTTTTTTTTTGAGATGGAGTCTCGCTCTGTCGCCTAGGCTGGAGTGCAATGATGTGATTTCAGCTCACTGCAACCTCTGCCTCCCAGGTTCAAGCGATTCTCCCACCTCAGCTTCCCAAGTAGCTGAGATTATAGGTGTGTGCCACCAAGCCCAGCTAAGTTTTGTATTTTTAGTAGAGACAGGGTTTTGACATGTTGGTCTGGCTGGTGTTGAACTCCTTACTTCAGGTGATCCACCTGCCTTGGCCTCCCAAAGTGCTGGGATTACAGGTGTGAGCCACTGAGCCTGGCCCTTTTACTATGCTTCCAGATAGTTGAAGAGATTACAAACCAGTTAAACACCAGATTACAATTTACCTTTGACTGCTATCTTTTATCTGGAAAGATTTCAGATATGTTATCTTTCCTTATTTTTCTTTCATGTGGCCAATCTCTAAGAAAATAGCATTTCCTATTTCTGTGTTGACTTTGTTGACTTGAGGTTGTTTTCCATTTACTTTAAATCTAAGAGAAAAATAGGTATAAAGATATAAAGACAGTTGAGAATATAACTAAGAATTCCTTTTTTTTTTTTTGAGACGGAGTCTTACTCTGTCACCCAGGCTAGAGTGCAGAGGCATGAATTTGGCTCACTGCGATCTCTGCCTCCCAGGTTCAAGTGATTCTCCTGTCTCAGCCTCCCGAGTAGCTGGGATTACAGGCACCCGCCACCATGTCTGACTGATTTTCACATGTTTAGTAGAGACAGGGTTTCACCATGTTGGCCAGGCTGGTCTCGAACTCCTGACCTCAGGTGATCCACCACCTCGGCCTCCCAAAGTGCTGGGATTACAGGCGTGAGCCACTGTGCCAGGCCTGTTATTTTTAAGATGGAATCTGTGTCGCTCAGGCTGGATTGTAGTGGCGTGATCTTGGCTTACTGTAACCTCTGCCTCCTGGGCTCAAACAATTCTGCCTCAGCCTCCTGAATAGCTGGGACTACAGGTGTGTACCGCCATGCTCAGCTAATTTTTGTATTTTTAGTAGAGATGGGGTTTCTCCATGTTGCCCAGGTTGGTCTCGAACGCCTGACCTCAGGTGATCCACCGTGCCTCCCAAAGCACTGGGATTACAGGTGTGAGTCACCATGCCCCACCAGATAATCTGATTTTACATGTGTGTAAAATACATGTGAAAACCATCTGAATGATGGAGCTGACTAAAATCCTGCCTGGGGCAGCATCAGACCACTCCTATGTTCTGTATTTGTTTTTGATTGTTTTGGCAATACAATATGGAAATTCCATTTAGCAGGACAGTCATAGTCAAGGAAGAGTAATATTGTACATGTAATAGTTTCAAGTGCTTTTGTTTTGTTTTTGTTTCTGCCACCCAGGCTGAAGTGTAGTGGTATGATCACGGCTCACTGCAGCCTCTATGTCCTGGACTCAAGTGATCCTCTCACCTCAGCCTCCCATGTAGCTGGGAGTACAGGTGCATGCCACCATGCCTGGCTAATTTTTGCAGTTTTTGTAGAGGCAGGGTTTCATCATGTTGTCTGGGTTGGTCTCAAACTCCTGGGCTCAAACAATCCACCCACCTTGGCCTCCCGAAGTGCTGGGATTACAGGCGTGAGCCACCACGTCCAGCCTCAGGTACTTTTGAAGTGGCATGTTTCTAAAATCATTTTGCAAAGCCTATTAAAATTTTGTTTCAGTTGAGAATCAAACATATTGGGCTTTATGATACTAAGCCACCAAGATATCTGTTTTGTTTACAATTATAAATTCTGAACCCCAGCATTATGCTTAAGAAAAAAAATTTTTTTTGAGACGGAGTCTCACTCTGTCACCAGGCTGGAGTGCAGTGGTGCAATCTTGGCTCACGGCAACCTCCATGCACTGCAACCTCTGCCTCCCCAGTTCAAGTGATCCTCCTACCTTAGCCTCCCGAGTAGCTTGGATTTTACGTTCACTACCATGCCCAGCTCATTTTTTGTACTTTTTGTAAAGACAGGTTTTCACTATGCTGCCCAGGTTGGTCTCAAACTCATGAGTTCAAGCAATCCGCCTGCTTCAACTTCCCAAAATGCTGAGATTAGGGGCATGAGACACTGCGCCCAGCCCAAGAAAGATATTTTAATAGGGAAAAGTACAAGAAAAGTACTACTCTATATAAAGGCAATGGCTTACACCTGTAATCCCAACACTGTGGGAGGATGAGGCAAGAGAATCACTTGAGGTCAGGAGTTCAAGGCTAGACTGGACAACATGGCAAAACCCTGTCTCCACTAAAAATACAAAAATTAGCTGGGCATGGTGGCACCTGCCTGTAGTCCCAGCTACTTGGGAGGCTGAGGCAGGAGAATCCCTTGAACCAGGGAGGCAGAGGTTGCATTGAGCTGAGATCAAGCCACTGCACTCCAGCCTGGGTGACAGAGTGAGACTCCACCACAAAAAAAAAAAAAAAAAAAAAAAAAAAAGGCATCATAAAGATCTCTATAGACCGTAGAAATTGTGGAAGCAAGGCCTGGCACAGTGGCTCACACCTATAATCCTGGCCCTTTGGGGGGCTGAGGTGCGTGGATCACCTGAGGTCAGGAATTTGAGAGCAGCCTGACCAACATGGAGAAATCCCATCTCTACTAAAAATACAAAACTAGCTGGGAGTGTTGGTGTATGCCTGTAATCTTAGCTACTCGGGAAGCTGAGGCAGGAGAATCGCTTGAACCTGGGAGGCAGAGGTTGTGGTGAGCTGAGATTGCGCCACTGCACTCCAGACTGGGTGACAAGAGCAAAGCTCCGTCTCAAAAAAAAAAGAAAGAAAGAAAGAA